GCTAACTATTCTCGAAACAGGGCCAATAACAACTAGAACTTTTGGTTCATGCAACTTGTCGGAGCCACAGGTGCGATTCTTGATATGGCGGACTTCCCTTCAATTTTTTGTGTGGCAACTAGGGAATAATCTTGGCATTCCAAAGAGATCAATCAAAACAAGGTTATGGAAAGTAGAATGACCATCAAAATAAAAAAAGGGAAAGCTTTCTGTATTCCCCCCACATCATAGAAGTTCTATGTTGTTTTTACCATCCCGCCATTCATTTTTGATCGAGAGAGTCCCTCACTATTTGATCTTAGATCCGACATATCAAAGTGTTTTATTTTTAGTTTTTTTAATACAATTTTTCGGAATATGAATTTGGTACGTGTTATCTTCTCATTAGGGCGCACCTATAAAAAATATTAACAATAATTTTTCGATAAAATATAATGACCAAATGACCTTTTGAAACTTTCAAAAGCATTTTGATCATTTTAGTTTATTGAAAATATTTTTTTTATATTTTTCATTAATGCGAGTTTAATAGAGGAATGGAAGTCCAAAATGTGGTATCAAAATAGTTTATAGAAAAAAATTAAAAATAAAATAGTGTAGAGACGTGACACCGTGATTGAGATAATCTTAACCCTCTATTAAAAAATGGACGGTTGGATAAAGGGAACATAGAACTACTATGTTGTAGGAGAAACATAGAAAGCTTTCCCAATAAAAAAAGAAACACAAATCCGTCAAGTCTCTAGCATTTGTGCCATCAAAACAACTTTAGTGGTCGAATCTCCATTTTTGTGGCGAAAGATCGTCCCTTCTAACACCAAATAAAAAGTGAAATTAGGGCCTCGTACCATGTACATGGGAAGAGATCCCAGTTTTAGGAACTTGAAGTATCTTTTCAGACATTGTGTATGTCTAATTTGATCATTTTTTCCTTTACCCAAATTTCTTTTTATTTTTCTTAATTTCTTTTACATCAAATCCAACCAAATACGTGCTCAAATATGCGTTCCCCGGTCTGCAATTTGAGCTCAAATATCTGTCTTACCTTTTTCATTTTGCCATTCTTGCTCATACTTTCTTTCGTTCTCTCTTAATTTTTAGAGAATATGTAATTTTTAACATGGAGGTTATGAATATAAAAAAAATTTCAAAACAAGAAATTATACTTATATTAAAAAAACATTTGGACGTTTTTTTTTTTTGGATAAAATCAAAATTTATTCATAAAAAGTATCAATTATATCAACGTTTCCACATTATCAGCGACCGCTAGTGAATCCAAAAGCACTCATCTCTTAGCTAAAAAATCAGCTTCACCACTAGCTTTCCTATACACATGTTCTAGAGATAAAGATAATAAAGACAAAATATCGAAAATCTGCAGCCCGAGCATCTTAAGTTGTCACGGAAGTCGTTGTTCTTTCTTACACCATCTATTGACATTAAGCGAGTTAGCCCAAGTGGATTTGATCAAATCAACAGCACTAGGTTCCTCTAACCAAACCAATTCCAGCCTAAAAGGCTTCCTCCCATTAGGAATCACTTTTGTATTCAACAACAATGGAATGTGGTCAGATGAAAGCCTAGGCAAAGCTTTAATCGACGCCAAAGGAAAAACTTCCATCCAATCAGGAGTCACCAATAAACGGTCCAGTTTAGACATAACCAGATTAGTTTTATTGTTATTGAACCAAGTAATTTTGGCCCCCACAATAGACAAATCTAGCAATTGAAACCATTTTATAAAATAGTTAAATAATCGCATCATAGAATTGATGGGAGTATTCGAAGATGAATCATCATGTCAACGTAAGAAATTAAAATCACCCTCCAAACAGATAGGTAAATTATGGGAAATTAAAACATTTACCAAAGCATTGAGAAAATCTTCTTTAAAAGTAGGTAATACGTGACCATATACATTCACAAGTCCCCATTAAGTTTCTGCATCAGAACCTTGAAAAAACAAAGCCAAAAACCTATCATCTCTAATAACCTCCACACAATATAAGGCAAGAGGATCCCATAAGACCCAAAGACCCCCAGAAGCCCCTATAGAATCAACCCCTTCAAACTTAACTGCCCCAAGACCCCAACACTCCTTAACTAAAGCAAAAGTTGGAGCAAAAGACTTAGTTTCCTACAAAATAACAACTACTGATCTAAACTTCTGAATTAAAACCTTTAAATCACTTATGCGTCTGGTATCCCCCAAACCTCTGACATTCCAAGATAAGATCAGCATCAAAGGTAAGAGGAAGAACTAAGCCCCTACTCAAAGGACCTAATATCGCCACCATCTTCAAAACGAGCGTTATCAGACCAACATTCAAACTGGCACTCCATCTGGAGGAGTCACTGTTAACCTCCACCACTTCAATATCTGTGATTTTGAGACCCCCCTCCGGCTTAGCCTTTGGGCCCTTAGCTGTAATCCTAGCAGACCATCTAACTGGGTGACTCTCCTTAACATGACCACTATGCGATTTAGACTTTTTAAGAGTCCTATCGACCGACTCCTTAACAGGTATAACTTCTACTGATTTAGCTTTCTTCAACTGCTCCTTTATAGATTTGACCACCATAGCTAATGGAACCTCATAAGAAAAACCAATATCAGCCACCATCATAGCAATCCTACCATCATTCTCAATATCAGCCCCATCGTTATAACTGATTCAGCAAGACCATCATTCTCAATAACAGTGTCAGCCGGTTGAACTACTGGGGGCTCCAAAGGAGCATTAGGATCTAGGTCAGCACCCCCTTCCATCTCTCCCAAATCACCAAAGTGAGGTGGTAAAGCACCATCAGGATCCAAACCAGCATCCCCTTCCACCTCTCCCAATCTATGGAGGAGCAAAGGTGCAACCTGTGGAATCACATTTAACCGTTGTTCCCATGCTGCCTCCTTCAAAGCCAGATTGAAACCCTCCATGTCAAAGGGAAGGTGAGCATCAGCCACAAGGACCTCTTCCGCTAGCTGTTCCTCAGCCATTTGCTCCTCCTGAATATCATCAACCATCACCAGAGCCAAAGGATTAATGGGTTCCTCAAATGTACAAGCACCTTCTTTCTAGTAGCTCTGTGAAAAAAAAGAACTGTATCCTTAAAACAACACACCACCAAAGTAACACTACAAGCAGAAAGTGTTGCACCGACAAAGGGAGATAACTTCGGCCAAAATTTACAAGCTTTGAGGAAGTAGAGAGAGAAGAGGTAGATAAAAATGAGAGCTCACCGAAGGAAAAAATATGAGGAATCCACACGAGTTGACCCCTTGTCACCACCACGCCTAAAGAAATGGAGAGTATCCTCTCCCAACACCATTGAGTCAACACGTGGAGAGGATAAAGCCACGTTCCCTATAAAGACCGGATGCACCAATATTTCTGAGATATGGGGGCTGACATGATTTAGTGAACCGAAGGAGCACCACAATCAATTAAAGGCCTCTTGCCTTTACTTGTGGGAGATGAAGAAGGTAAAAGATAGTCAAACGAATTGTTAAGGAAAGCAGCCCACCTGAACCCAAATTTTTTTAAAATTCAAAACTTTGGAGCCCATGCTACCTCCACCTGTCTTCTTCAACCCCAAAAGGTGGGAGTTGAAATTCGTATTGGACTTTTGCATCTGAGACCCCATACCATGGAACTTTTGCATCTAAGACCCCATACCTTGGAAGACCTTCTTATTTCTTTTATTATTGACTACAATCCAACCATCACCATCTAAGGGCACAACATCACTCGACAGAGAAGCTCATTCTCCTCCATCACTTTCAAAGCCCACTTGCAAATGAGTCTTGTGCGGAAAATGGCCCTTTCTCAAATGCCACAGGTTGACACGTACAGAATCCATAGACCCCACGTTCAAGCGTTCCCGATCAATATTACAAAAGGAACCACAAACATTTGACAACTTTTGAACGATGGCCAGTTTCCAGGCATGTAGAGGTATGACCCGATAAGTAACCCAAATCCTTTCCCTTTCAGCAAAAGACCCATTAGCAGAAGGACTCCATGAATCCAAGGACAACAACTTATCTCGAATTCTAACAAATCTATTACGAGAGAGCACAAACTTAACTTCATCAGCTGATCTAAGGAAGAAAATCACCCTATTTACACCCAAAAGATGTACTTTAGGCATAAAGGGCAGACCCTATCCCCTCTTCGCCCAATCCCCCAAATCAAAAACATCATTAGATGGAAGAAAAAAAGAACCCACAATCACCAAATTTGTTTTAAAACTAGTATCCTCCACAAACTTACTGTCAACAACAATACAAGGCAAGAACTATTAGTTACAATTATTTTTAGATGGACTACCTATTTACATCCAAGATGGATACTTTATACCTCTGGGCCGCATATTGTAGAAATGCGGTCCAGCCCCGCATGAAACAATTGATCTTATCAAATACCAAAGTAACTTTTTTTTCTTTGGAACAATTGTTTCATGCAGGTTGGACCGCATGAAACAATATACGGAGGTATAAAGCATCCATCTTAAAGATGGATGCAAATAGACGGTCCCGTCTAAAAACAATTGTATTTAACAGTCCAAATGTTTTTTTAATATAATTATTATTTTTAGTTTTAAATATATATATATATTTTCATATTTATAATCTCCATGTTAAAGATTATATATTATCTAAAAATTAAGATCAAATTATATTTATTACCATGCCAGCAGTTCTAGAGGAACGGGGTGGTCTCATAGAAACCGGGGGTTTTTTGTTTTTTCCGAGGTGGGCCTTCGTGACGTTGACACCTTGAAATACTTTTTTTTCGTAAAAAGGAATGAGGGATACTTTCAGTATTTTAAGAAAGAATTGAGGATATTTCCGTCAAGAGGCCATCTGGCTTCTATTAAGGCAGTTAGACAGATAATCTTGTGACGGCACTGCAAAACCTCCTGAGCCAAATGGAATGCCTCCTATTTTTGGTTGAAAGACTTGCACACAAATTTCGACCTCCATTGAAAGGGTCTTCCCTCAAACCCTAATTTTCCGAGTAAAGAAATAAACAAACAGACGAAAAGAGTTCCATAAAACCTAATTTCCTCTTTCTGATCGTGTTTCTGCACGCTTTGGTTGCAGGAACCATGAATTCTAATGGAGCTACCAGCTCTGTCAGTAGTGGCCCTAATGAAGCTTCAAGGAGAAACTCCAAGAGACCTAAATGTAATTCTTCTCAACCATTGGAAAAAAGCTTTCCTTTTCTTGTTTTTCCTTTCAAATTATTTCTTCGTGGTTGTTTTTTCGTTTTCGTTGTTTTTGGATTGATGTTTGTGCATGGGCTCCTGATTATTGGAACTTTTTTTTTTTTGTGATGATTTGATGAGATTGTTGTTTTGGTATTTTGTTTTGGGTTTTTCTTTTAATGCTTCGGCTTTTAATATGCCTGGGAGATTGTCTATCTCAAGTTGTTTCTCTATCCATGCCTGCTATATTGTTGATTTCTATCTCGTTCTATAAGCGACTTTGATGATCGCTTTCTCTTCATGAATGCCTTCGAGCCTTCAATACTCTCTCTCTCTCTCACACACACACACACATTCTCTCTCTCTCATACACACAGACACGCACATGCATGTTTATCCAAGTTTGAATTTGTTTCTGTGTTGCTTCAAGGATGCATTGGGTGGTTGAAGTATTACCTTACTTAATAAAAATGACTTGAAGCAGAGCAGGTTAATACAGGGGATGAATATGTAGAATGTGTAGTTTATGCAATGCTAATACATGGAAAGCTATTTGTTGATTTGGATGGATTTTATGGCTTCTGATGGTGTGCATGTTTGGGGAGAGCAGACTAAGTCTTAATACCAGTAGAATAAGTGTTTGTTCTTTGCTGATTAATCTTTATGGCACCATTCAAAATAAATCTCTGTGAAATTTGGTCTTGAGATCAATGAGGTAGAGTCAATAGACTCTGAGCATTCCAATCTTGTTCTCCCTGCCCAAAACTTCCATGATTGAACCACCTGCCCTAATAAAATACCCAAACCCCAATTCAAACAAACAATGGTATTTTTTGTGTTACTTAAATCAAGGAAATGTTTAGACACATGATATGAAGATCACATATTATTATCATTCGAATCAGAACGTATTCAGTTCGATACTTGAATGAAGTTTATTGTTTTTGTTACACAAAACTCCTTTGATTTTCAGCTAATCATCTCATTTTATTGGTGTTTATTTATATCTCATGCTTCCTGATGAATTATTTGACAATAACCATGAAACTGCATGGATTTTGGAATGAGGCTGAGAAACTCCATTTGTGCTAGCACTTCTTGCTGGTTCTTGCCTCAAACAAGCACCAACCCATCCGGCCATGTCGAAAGCCAGATTCAATGCGTAATTCACATCCATGCTTCTCTCTCCAATACTCGAATTATAGCCTCTGGTAATAGCACATCTCCTTCTTGATACTGCATTGACTCTCTCCCTGTGATCAACTCCAGTTATACTACACCAAAAGCATAAACATCCACCTAGGGAGTCACCAATCCATTCTACCAATACTTAATACCTTTACCCTCTCCCTTTTTAGCATTTCTTACCTCCTCGCATCTTTCCATCTAAAAATTGCTGATCATAGCCCTGAAATTCGTATTCAAAAGTACATTATTGCTGCTGATATTACCATGGATATGAAATTCGTGCATAATTGTGAAGATACTGATATTAGCCATAAATTTGCACGACTTTCATCGATTTCAAAGTCCTTGACCTATTTGATTCATGGATCTAGGCACTCAAAGGCCCATACTCTATAAACTCATGAATGTGATGGTAGCTGTGTTTGTTGAAACAGATGCCTAAAAGCCTGATAACATTGGAATGGTTCATCTTTTTAATTTTGATGCCTTCCTTCGCCTGACATAAATTCACTTTTTTAATGGCTATAACTATGAAGATTCACTAAAAAAAAAAAAGGCTATATCTATGAAAACTATTTTGCCAAAATGCACCACCCCCTTGATTCTATACTCTATCAGATGAGAATCCATTTATTGAAGCATACAAATTTGGGTATCTGTACACTTCTAAGGCCATTATTGGTATTGAGATCATCCATAAATTCAGTGAGTTTCTTCTTGCTTAAGCTGTCCGGCTTTAAGGTATTCTTCATCAATAACTTGACCTGATTTTTTGTTCTATTATAGAATGAAAAGAAATGGAGAAAGACATGTCAACCAATAAGGAGAGGAACCCAGCTCCTACTCCAAGCCCCACTTGGAGCCCAGTTTTTGTGTACTGAGTGGTGGAAGGGAGAGAGATTGGTGGAAGGGATATGGTTTAATGAAAGAATGCCTTTTCCTCCAAAGGATCAAGAATGTAGTGGGAGGATAAATGTCAGAATTTCCCTCAGTGAGCTCATTGGCATCAAGAATAGTCTCAGGAGTAATTCTAAATTTCAAGCTAACATGAAAAATTCTATCACGCTGAAGTACTGGAAACTCAACATATACTTAATGCCATTTTTTATTTACTTTTTGCTAGGTCAAGCACATCTCTCTGGAGCCTTAAACTCTGAACTGTTAGATAACTTAATGGGCTCTATTTCATATAATGTATCTTACTAATGACAATTCACAAGGATGATCACCTATTTTCCATCTTGAAAGCTGGTAGAGAAAGAAACTGAATTGATATGGGCAAATTCAGAGGGATCAGACCAAAAAAGCTGAGATATGGCATAACTTTCATGGGTTCTTGATACCTCAAAATTTGATAAGAGTTGCTGGTGTGTTCTGAGTCAATGCATGTGTAACCATGGTTTGAAGAAGAATTTTGGTTTTTGTTATTATTTCCTTGCTAAGATTGCTAGGCTAGCATGCATGGCAGAGAGGGCATGACGCAGATGAGGCAAAGGATGAGGCAGTGGTGATCCATTTCATTAAATGGCTGATATTGGTTTTGTTTCACAAGAAAGGGATAAAAGGAAGCTCTCTCTCTCTCTCTCTCAGACGAAGAAACCTTGGACTTGACTCAAATTTGTATAGCTGCTATGCATGCAATTCATTCTCTCTCTCTCTTCTCTCTCTCTCTCTCTCTCTCTCTCTCTCTCTCTCTCTCAGAAACCCTGGACTTGACTCAATTTTGTATGGCTGCTATACATGAACTTCATGTTTTTTGGAAATCTAATCTCTCTCGAAGAAGCCTTGGACTTGACTTGATTTTGTATAGCTGCTATACATGAAATTCATTTTTTTTTGGAAATCTAAAGTAGCGTACATTATTTTTAAAAAAAAACAAAGAAACTTAAATGTTGAGAAAATTTTCATAACACTGGGCTGTGGTACTCAAATCCTCGAGGGAAATTTCTGACATGGGCCCTTTGTTTTCTTTCATTTTTTTTTTAACTATTAAAGGAATCTACCTTAGGTAGGCTTCTTTATTGACTGTATCCTGATTAAGTGTGAACTTCATATTTGATTTCTTCTCTTCTTTATGTGATGGTTTATCATCTCTTAGAATTGTATTCGATGCACTTTAGGACTACTCTTTTCCTGGCATTATTAAGGTTTTGGTGATTGATTGTTCTCCCTTTACTTTTCCGATGTTAAAAGTAGATAACTTTTGGATTCTTTCATCTGCTAATGGACACATGATATTTTATGTGATGATATGATTAAAATTGTTGATGTATCTTCCTGATAGCATTGTTGATATGTTCCAGATTCTAAATTCACGCAACAGGAGCTTCCAGCTTGCAAGCCACTTCTTACACCAGGATGGGTAAGCTCCGATATTATTAGACAATAAAAGAGTTTGTATTTTAAAGTCTTTCGTGCTAGGTCTTCTAGAGACGGTGCCATTGTGTAGCAGATGATGTCACAACAAGATCAACCTGCTTCTAAAATTTGTGTCGCTTCTTCTGTTGCTTCTCAACTCTCTCTCTCTCTCCGTGTGCATGTGCATGCGCAAAACTCTGTGATTTATGTCCTTCCCCCCCCCACACACACACACACACGCACACACACAAAATTCAAAATTCTTTCTATTTTAGTGAAAAATGCTCTCCCTCCCCCTCGCTTTTCCAAAACAACGTAGCATTTAAAGCATGTCCAGGATTTGTGGAGTCTCATATTGTTATTAACCTCTCAGGTCATCACAGCGTTTACATTGATTGGTGTCGTCTTCGTTCCCATTGGGGTTGCTTCCTTGCTTGGATCTCGTGATGTATGTATGTTTGATATTGGTGCTGATTATAGGGAAATTATAGTTTAATCTAATGGATCATGGAAAAACAAAGTCTATTGGATTTATCACCATCCAATAAAAATGGTTGATGGTTAAAACAGGAAAGGAGGCACCAATACGGACATCTCCTGTTCTGGTTGGTATCTCTCTTCATGGCCATCTATCATTTCTTTTAATGGTGATCACACCATTGTATTTTTAGTTGTTTTTCTTTCTTTAAGTATGACACTACTGAACCATGAATATACCATAGTCCATCGGCATTTATATACTTTCCTATGATTGTTGTCACATGCTTGCTTTCATAGATAGGCTAAAAAGTAAGCTTTGGTATTCTAATGAAGCTCTTTCCTATTTCTCTAGGTTGTTGAAATTGTCTATCGATATGAATCCGAGTGCATACCACAAAGTTTTAGTGATAAGAAGCTTGAGTTTATACAAAGTAGTGAAACTAACAAGACCTGCACGAGGACTTTAACTGTGAGTATCTGATCCGCATTGTATTATGGGGTTTCTTACAAAAACATGAAGAATAGTCTCTGAGCATCTTACTTTAGGATTTTCCCCTCTTGGAGGTTCTAGTATGTCTTCCTGAACAAGACAAGTTTTGCAGGTACCAAAGCATATGAAAGCCCCAGTTTTTGTCTATTACCAGTTGGATAACTTCTATCAAAACCACCGTAGGTATGCATCATCATTGAAATTCATGTTACAAATGTTTGTTACCTGTTCCCTTATGAGATTATGACCACTTTTATCCTAAAGAACTTTGTTTAATTCAATTATGCATAAGAAAATCATGATCTTTTTTTTTTTTGGTGAGGAAGTTTAGAGGTATATTCTTTTTAGCACTGTTAATGGACAATTGGACATCACTGATTGTGTACTTTTGTACTCCCTCACGAAGAAAATATTTTGTTTTTATTCTAAATTGTTTGAGTCTTCAGGTATGTCAAGAACAGGAGTGACAAGCAGTTGCGGGATAAAAAAAGTGAAAGGACCACTGCCTTATGCACTCCTGAGGCTACCTTAAATGGGTCCCCGATTGTACCTTGTGGTCTGATTGCTTGGAGTTTGTTCAATGACACATATCAATTTTCTCGTAATGATAACGGTAGATTGTTGTCCGTCAACAAAACCAACATTTCTTGGAAGAGTGACCGTGATAATAAGTTTGGTAAAGACGTTTATCCTAAGAATTTCCAGAGCGGACGCTTGATAGGTGGTGCCAAACTTGATCCTAACAAATCTGTGAGTAACATTTTGAGACCTTTCCTCTCAATAAAGTAATGTTCACAATAAAGTAATGTTCACAATAAACCAATAGACGAAATAAAAAGTGTAGTCCCTTTACCTAAAAAAATAATGTTCACAATAAACCAATAGACTAAATAAAAAGATTAGTCCCTTAGTTCATCACCATCCGTTTAATTAATGCTGATGGATCAAGAGGGGCCCCTATTGGGGTGCGATCCTTTCCTGTTGGGTCCTACTTTTAGTCACTGTCCATCCATGATTTCGGCGTGATGGTGATGATCCAATTGACTATGGTTTTCCTATAGTTCATTAGGTTACAGTATATCTTCTTCACTTTCCTTTCTTCTACACTTTTCAATTATTTACTTTCCGTATACAAATTGGGAGAAATCATCTTATCGGGTTTTGTGTTCTGTGTATGGCAGCTAAGTGAACAAGAGGATCTTATTGTTTGGATGAGAACAGCTGCATTGCCCACCTTTAGGAAATTATATGGCAGGATTGAGGCGGACCTTTTAGCTAACGAAAAGATAACTGTGAAAATAGAGAACAACTATAACACGTACAGCTTTGGTGGCAAGAAGAAGCTGGTACTTTCAACCACAGGCTGGCTTGGTGGAAAGAACGACTTTCTTGGCATAGCTTATCTCTTGGTGGGGGGGTTGTGCTTCTTTATGGCTCTGCTTTTCATGATTGTGTATCTAGCAAAGCCAAGGTGAGTGATGTGCCCATTGTAGATCCGCTGTTTTCTCTTTTTCTTTTTAATTTTGTGGGAATGATTACGGACCAAATAAGTACAAAATGACTTGTTAGTTTGCAAACTCTTTTTGGAAAAGCATACTATAGTCCCATGGACAATGGTGTCATCACTCTCCATTGTAATGATGGATGGATGGACTGAGGGATTCACCAATGGTGCCATTTCTTGTTCTTTTGAGGTCTTTTTTTTCTGGTGTGTGTGCGCGCTTGGCGGGGGGGTGGTGTTGGGCAATATCTTTCATCACTATCCATCAATTTCAAAGGATGTAGATCAAGTGGTCTATGGTGTCTTCACTTCATAGTCCATTGAATTTAGGGACCTTTCATTGTTTTATTAATGTTCATTGTCATGAATTGCTTCATAGATTGCAAGGAGTTTTGATAAATTGCCGCATTTTGCAAAAATTAGGGGTGGGGAATGGAGTGAATCTCAATGTTTATTAGATTGAATCTCAATGTGTTTGTACGGTTTTAGTTACATACTATGAATCCATTTTTGTAGGCCTCTTGGAGATCCATCATACTTATCCTGGAACAGGAATCCCTCTGGACTGTGAACTTGGTACTCAAATAAGTGAATGGTTTTTCAGTTGTGACTAAGGTGCTGGGCTTCCTTGAATGAGCTCTTTCTCCATGCTAATCAGATCAAGGTGTATAGTTTCGTGTCCCAAGCATCTAATACCTATGTAGTTAGTTTCATAAGAAAAAGGATACATTTTTTCAATCTTTTTAATTCCTTTCTTAGTCATCACTTGTTTGTAATATTAAACTACTGTTTAGCACTGGCTGAAAGAGAAATTAAAAGGACATATGCCTTTTTTCTGATTTTGAATCCCGAGACACCATAGATGTTTTCTATGGAGCTTTGTAATATTAAACTGCTGTTTAGCACTGGCTGAAAGAGAAATTAAAAGGACATATGCCTTTTTTTCTGAATTTGAATCCCGAGACACCATAGATGTTTTCCATGGAGCTTTATAATATTAAACTGCTGTTTGGCACTGGCTGAAAGAGAAATTAAAAGGACATATGCCTTTTTTCTGAATTTGAATCCCAAGACACCGTAGATGTTTTCTATGGAGCTCGATTCACCATCCAGTATATGAGTTCTTCAGAATCTCCCTCATTAATTTATCATTTTCTATTTTATTATGCAAATCACTTAGGAGAAAAAAAAAATTCAACAAAAGAAATTGCTTATAGCGTTTAATAGAATGTCACTCGATACTTCGCTTTTTATCTCATGCTTCAAGAAAATTTGCAATTAACGCTTAAGTGATTATCTTTGCCGACCCTAAATAATTGGGAAAAAGATATGATGATAATGATGTTTAAGTGAATATCTTTGTTTATTGCAAATTTAAGAAGTTGCTCCTAGATTTCCTTTCAATTCATTCCTGAATTTCTACAATCCGCAAGCAAGTGCTTTCTGGTGTTTCCAAGATTATCACTTTGAGTTGTTCACTTAAAATTGCATTTTGCAGGTACTTAACAGCTTCTTACTCGTGCATCCCAAATTGTCTAAAAGGATTTTAGCATTTCGCTTTAAATCTTCACACTAAGTAGGTTCTTGCCTAGCATGTTAAACAAAAAACTGCAGTCATGTTTCATACCCCTAACAAATTAACAAATAAAATTTCATGGGCATGTTTCGCTTGTGAAATCTCCAACTAAGAAGTTAAATCACTTGTCAGATATATTAGTTAGATATTAGAGAATCAACTTTACAATCAAGCTTGGCACTGAGAGACTGAAGTGTAGTGGTGTGGATCGTGTGCTCTCTTCTGCAAAACATGCACCAAGCAAAACTCAGATCTCCCCCACCCCAGGGCCCCTCTCTTCCCCCCCCCCCCCACCCCCCCCCATAGCAAAAAAGGAAAAGAAAAAAGAATTCCCCTTCCCCTTTCTTTGCAGCAGCTCCCCGTTTACCAGCTTTGGCGTTCATGTTTGTTAACTGTGCATACATGCCATAATCTTGGGGCCCCATCTAGCATATTCAAGTCTCAATGGATGCCCCAACCTAAGCTTCCTAATGTCTAGAATCAATCTCAATCATCCATTTCCCTGATGAAATCTATTGCTTCTTTGAGTAGAGCCGTGTGCAGAAGCATGTCTAACGTGCATGCATAATGCATGGTCATGGGTTGATTCTGTACCCTTTAGACAGTTTATAGAAACACTTGAAAAACTTCTCTAAATTGATGGCTATGGCTACAAGTCGATAAAACCTCGGGTATTGTCATATTGTTTGGATTGATGCTCGCCCTCTTCATTCTTTCGAGCACCATAAGAGCAACAATGGCCATAACAATGTGAGCCATGGTATGAAATGAGTGATTCTTGAACCCACAACTCTTGCCTACCATGTTATCAAACTGTAGGCCGGCCATATTGGTTGTCCCACACAGTCCATACATATCTATGAGAGTGAAGACCTAGCCATTGATCTGTTGACCCTTTAGTAAGGACAGCATTGCTTGCATAGACACAAAGTATGGCTAGAATTGAGAACAAATCTGGTCATATGCCAATTAGCCATAGCATCTCAGTAAAGAGCTCCCTTCCTTTAAGAGTTACCCATTTTGACCATACCACACTATCAATCATTCCATCCACCAGACGATGTTTCAGTCTGGCATTTGATCTAGAGGCGCCCATTTGTTCAGAGTTTGCTTAACAATCTAAGAGGGAGGTGCATACAAAGAAGTCAGAATCAAGCCTGCTTGATTATGTAACTGTGGATGACAGATGATACATGGTTGTAAGGAAAGGTAGGAATAAGGTGGGTTCTAGTGAAAGAATTGGGTTTTGTACTGATTTTCTGTGTTTCATGAAATAGCTTGATTGCTCAGCCGAGTAGCTTATTAGCTCGCACACAAAATACAATCATGACAAGATGGCTTTTAAAGCCTGTTCTTATGGCGTGACATTGGATTATGGGGCCCATGTTTTCTTATTTTTGCTGGGAAGGGGCCTTGAGAATACTAATTATTGGCATGAGGCCTTGGTTTCAAGGCTTGCAGTAGATCTTCAAGACTCGTTTACCTTCAACTAGCATTTTGATGGTGTTAGGGTGAAAACCTTAGAGAATGCAACACTACACGTTTCTTTTGAATGTAAGCAACTCTTGTTTGTTCAGTTCATTCCAAGGATCATAAGCTACTAAATCTAATTAGCGCGATCCTATAAACATCTCTGTGCTTCGGCCACTGAAAAAAAAAAGTCTTTTTGGGAAGAGTTTTATGTTCTGAAGGAAAAGAACATGGATTCTGAGTCTCAAATCAAAATACACTAGGTAACCAATCCTAGTAAGTATGCTTGGTGTGAGAATTATTTTGGTGAAATTTATGGAATTGGAAAGCCAGTATATGTTGACATATTTTAACAGTGATAGCTTTGTTGGAAGCCATGAGCTTCCCGCATTTACAAATGGCGTAGCGGTTTTATTATTTCAAGAAGAGCAGGTATGACATACATATGATGTCTAATCGAGTTTAGCCACCATCCATTCTCAACACATGAATTTGAACCCTAGTACCACCCCAATATCCATGATATTTATCTCGCAGCTCATTTCGACGGTCCATCTGGAGAACAGGCACTGGATGCTCCACCTGTGTATGATACACCACACATCATCATGTGTACGCTATACTCTCTACTCTCTACTCTCTAATCTTGTACACTTTCACTGGTAGATGAAGCTCATAGTGTTGCAAGCGGAGGTGAACCCCCCATCCACCACCAAGTTATGCCCTGTCACAAACCCGGACTCGTCACTCGCCAAAAACAATGCAGCATTTGCCACATCCTCAGGAGTTGCACTTCTGCCCTTCAACAAACTTCCAGACTCTGCCACCACCCTATCAACCGCCTCTGCCCCCAAATCCTCTCTGCCCAAAATCTCTCTGTATGCCCCAACAAGCATATCAGAGGCCACACCATGAGGAGACACACAATTCACTCTGATGCCATGCACCCCTAGCTCACAAGCAGCACTCCTAACTATGCCAACCACTGCTTCTTTTGACATAGTGTAGGCATGTGAGCCGAGCCCACCCATGAGGGCAGCCGAGCTTGCAGTGCAGACAATCGAGCCCTGAACCCTTCCCTTTATCATGGCTTGAGCAGCATGCTTTATACCATATACAGGTCCACATAGGTTTACAGAGAGGAGGTTTTGCATGAGCTTTGAGTTGAGGTGTGTGATGCTTCCAAGCTGGCCGGCTATGCCAGCGTTGTTAAACATGATGTCAAGGCAGCCATGCTGGGCAACGGTGGATCTGACTGTAGCCGCAACGTCAGACTCAAGGGATACGTCACAGTGCATGTAGCGGGCTCCTATCTTGGTGCAGAGGGCAGGGCCCTCGTCGTCAAGGATGTCGGCCACGGTGACGTGGGCCCCGTGGAGGGCAAAGAGGCGTGCTGCAGCGGCGCCGATGCCCCGGGCCCCACCAGTTATGATGGCCACCTTGCCCTTTAGCCTGTTTGATTTGGAGTTACACAGTGATGATGACATGGTGATGGGGATATATATAAAGGACATCATTTAAGATGTAAATGAGAGACTTAGGCAGAGAAAGAGCTCATCTCAGCCGTCAATTGTTGACAACGGAGAGTGGAGCATACATCCAGAACATTGTTTGCGTGCTAAATCATGTTATGGTAGATTTTGCCAAAAATAACTAGGGAGCTAGCTGATCCACCTACGTTTATTTTTAACTTGGGAAAGAATAATATGCTGGCATTTCATAAACAGTATTTAGCAGCTCCTCAACCATCTAACGTGAACGATGGATGGTTGCAGTGAACTACGTAATTGTCCATTGTTGGCCTCAGTTTAGGAGCTTGTGAGATGTTGTTCTAAAGTAACATACATAATAGCATACAACTTACATTAGGTTACAAAGTTACAAACCCCTCTATAGTGATGCACCCAACACTCAGTAATACTGAGGATAATAGTTGGTGACAAACTAAAATAAAATTTCGTGGTTAGTTTGCCACTGATGTTTTTTGGTGGTAGGATAAAAACCGGCGAGTGATACTAAAGCCAACCCAAACAGTTGTTACCCCATTAGTTTTATGATCGAGTGGAACCAAAGCTTTGGACTTTTATCTTTCTGATCTCCATTGAGTTTTGAGTTATCTTGTTTATAATACCCTACGTTCCGTATTTGGTCGACTATAATTAGTTTAGCCTCGTAGCAAATTAGAATTTACGGAATGAATTTTTTGTTGAATGATAATTTTTATTGTATTTTATTCCAAATTTCTCTATCATATTGTATTTTAAGATGCTAAAATTTCCGGGATTTATTCTTCAAAAGCGTATCTGTGCACGCAAGAAAAACAGAACAAAGAAAGCAAGTTCCAGCTTACCTTTTCCCATGATAACCATTCATCTCTTGTTCTCCATTCTGTTGGTGAATATTCATTTCCATTCTGACGTCCATTCTTCTACACTAGTGTGCGCGTAGAGAGAGAGAGAGAGAGAGAGAGAGAGCAAATGTTAATGAGATCTGAATAAGAATCGATGCTTCTTTGCCCTTGATAAATAAACTTCTGATGGTTCCCACAGTCTAAACAAATGTGAGAAGGAAGGATGGGAATAGATCGGAGTTGGTCATTGTTACACTTTAGGCCCTACCCTCTCCTTACTTTACTTGCACCAACCCCTTCTTTCACCACCCCCTTGCCTTGCAACTACTTGCCAACTAAAAACTTGTCCCCTCAACAAAAACAAGAGGGCAAATGCAATATTTGGTTCCCTCTCCATTTTGTTGTATTTTCTCGAGGTATCTATTGGTCAATTTAGGGTTAGCATTCAAATTATAGCTTGAGAATTTAATTTCACTTATCTTACTCTTACTATTCTAGGGCATCAAAAGAGATTATCCTTGATGACATCGAAAGAGTGAGTGACTAAGTCGCTGTTTTCCAACTCCTGCTTATTGAATGCCCATTAAAGCTTAATGTAGAGTTATAAATTAAGTTAACATTACACCTAACCCAGGAATGGAGCATCAAACACAATGAAACAGGACGCTTCATGAATCATGAAATGGTATTGCATGGTACAATTGTTGGATCCATGGCAGTATCTGAACTCCTCCCACACCTCTCTGGAGCTATGTCTGTGATTCCTTCACCCTGTAAATAAATTTGGATTCTTCACTTAAAACAACCATTGCATTCACATCCATCCAAGAATGTTCAGAGTCAAATATAGATTAACACACTCAAAATCTCACTGAAAAAGGTTGTTCTCAACTCTCACAAGCAAAGGTTGCCCTGGTATTGAAAACCTTGAAATTGATGATGTCAACTTGGAACATTATGGATCCGGAAAAACAAGCCCCGGAAATAATGCATATTGTGGTTACACATTATCTAGATCGTCCATTTATTCAAGTTTTCACCAATCTATGGAATCTGCAATGTTCTTTAGCAACATTTTTGGACCTTTAAATTTTATAATGAGGAACATAATGCCATTATAAAAGTTCGGCTAGGAATTGCATTTTCGAGAAGGATTTTTAGCGTAGTTATCAAGATGAACTGGGTTGGCCAGTCCGATAGGCTGGACTGAGCCTTAACCGGTTTGGTCTAGAGCAAAAGTCAGCTCTTCTAAACTAGTCAAACCAATGTTAGATGAGTGTTAGTTAGTCGGACCATTCAGGTTTGACCGGCTAGACAGGTTAAACAAAGTTAGGCAAATTCTTTTAATATATTTTATATTTTAAAACTATTGTACTATTGTTTTTTGTTTTTTTTAAAAACTGTTCAACTAGTTCGACCAGTTTGGTGGCCTGTCCAATCCTGATAACAGTGGTTTTGAGGTGCGACCTTAGTAATCCTTATAAAGCCACAACCCTATGGTAACCGCACCCTCTAATGAGGTTAGGAGTATCCTTTACACTGTATGCACATGAGTGTACTCTTGCTCATGAGTATTGACACGTATGCGCATGACATATATATGAATAAAAATTGGCACAAAAATTGTGTATCTGTGAGAGCAAGAGGAAGAAATGACCTTGGCAATGTTTCTTAGATAAGTTGTTGTGTAGTTCCCTGTAGGGAAGAAGGCCTCAATCAGATCTGCAAGAACTAGCTGAGGCTGGGAGATGGCTCCATCAAACCAATCTGCATGCTCAACAACAAGAAACAAAAATAATGAAAGTAAATGATAAAAATTTCAATTTATGAACAAAAACACATATATTTACCAAAGAAAAAAAAGAAATTGAGAAAAATATGTTTCTGTTGATACCAAGGGTGGTGTTATGGACCCTCTTATCATATCTCCAGAGGCTCCGGTTTGTCAAGAAAGAGAAGCAGTCATTGTCAGATATGTTGACATTTTGCATGAAGGTGGAGAGTGTGTACTCTGATGGGTCACTTGCATAGGTTTCATCAATCACCACATCCAATGTCTGAAACCAAAAAAGTTCATTTTTTCAGATTTCATTTTCACCAAGTCATGGGGATTAGCCCAAAATTGATATGCTCAATGGGGGCATGTCATTTGTCCACTCTCTTGTGTAAAACCTTATCGAGGAATATTTTTTAGGGCCCAAGCCTTCGGGGTTATAACCTCCTCAACGTCTGCAAAAAAAAATTGCCCTAAGATTGAACAGAGATAGGTCAGATTTAAGTATTGAGGAAGCCCTATCTTTTTTTTTTTCTTTTTTTTTGGTTTTTTTTTGCTTTTGTTAAATACTTCTCTATGATTATAGATGGATTAAAAAAATTTAAGCTGAAAAAGATCTTCCTAGGTCGCTCTTTTGCCTGATTGGAGACCCTTTTACTCGCTCATAAAGCAGAGTGCATCATCCACTTAGGGTGCACGGCATATTATACACCATAAAGACATTCAACATCTATTTCTGGTTTGCCTTACATCAAGCATACGGGATAGAGGACTCTCAAATTTTGTGATGAAATTCATCACATTTTCCATTGAAATTTGGAACTTGGGAATCAATGAGTTTGTACAAGAAGTGAGCACAATAATGGGAAATTAGATGAGTCCATTTACTTACACATAATAGGGCTCTGAAATCATCTAAATCTTGTGGAATAGACATGTTGTAAGCATTAGCCTCAAGAGAATCCTCCAAGTTCTCCCCACCGGCATCCACTACATACTGTTTCAAGGGATTATATATAAAAAATAAAAACATACAAAAATATTTAAATATTTAAAGTAAGTGGATTTTATAAACTTTCTTTTTGAAATTTAAAAATAGTCCCTCTATTTTATATTCCCATTCAATTCCTACTTTTGAAGAGCATATGTAGTATATTTTAATATTATTCTTTATATACATTGGAAGTTTGGAACAAGCTCAAACTTGAGGCTTCTCATAATCATTTATCTATAGAAAATATTTAAAAAGGAAATACCATATGAGATTCATAGGTATTTTGGTAAATTCATCCATTTCAAATTACTTTTTTGAATTGCTTACGGTGCGAAAGTCGAGTTTAAACTGATGAGAATAAAATTAAAATACACTTTATGGTTTAAAATAATAGGACTTGAGTGAAACACAAAAGACCATTTTAAATTACAAAAATAAAATAGAATTTTTATAAATTTCCCTTAAACAAATCATTAGACAGCTGGCTATGGACCTTATGGTGTTTTTATGTAGGGACCACATGAAGCTTTTGTTTAGCTTCCCAATGCGATGCACTTTATATGAACCCCTACTTATATTTAAGTTTAAGATAAAATATTTACTTTTCGGGAAAGTATAGAATGAGATTATTTACATCTGGTGTGTAAGGTGGTCACATTAATTTTGAACATTGGATGTGATATTGAATGGTTGCAATTATTCCATCGACTAAGCTCAAACTTTAAAAGAATTTTTTTCAAACTTTATGACACATCTAAGCTATCAAATTTCACATTTGATGGCTGTAAGTAATTGTGATCACCTTGTATCAAAGATAAATTGTCTCATTGTATATAATACCTTAATTTTTACATTACCTGGCTTTTGTATGTATCATGAGAAAAAGACCACATGCCCTGCGCAAAAAGGAGGAGGTTTAAAGAATATAGGATAAAAGTGGATTTATATTTTTTAGATTATATAAAAACTAAAAGAAAGAAGAAATTGAATGCAACTACATGTTTGGCTTTGATATCTTTAATGAAATAACAAAGTCATAAAATCATTAGCATACAAAATTTTAAAAACTAAAAGAAAAATGAGTATCGGTATATCTAGCAAAATTTTAACCTCATTGCATCCCACCCATGCCACAACTGGCTTAAAAGATGTTGCAGAAGTGTTTGCTGCAGCCTTGATCAAACAACCATAATTCTCTTTTACCTGCATTTATGCAAAAAATGTTTCATAAACTAAGAAATGTACAGGGTCCCCAAATCAAATGAACGGGCGCTATAAGTATAATACTATGTATCATGCTGTAGGTATGTTACACAACGTCGTAGCCGCCACTTCCAAAAGGGACACTAACTGGACAGTGATCGTTCAAGGCATTAACTTGTGGCTAGTTACCATTACTCTCCATCTTGGAAACCGATGGTTAAGATGCTATGTGCCATAGCTAAATATGAGGATGTCTTAAATTTACTTGAAGTACTCTAAAGTTTAATAAGATACATTGATTATTCAGATGCCTCCCAATGAATGAAAACCCATTGACTCCGATATAGACTCAACAATCTGTCGAGTCTGAAACTAAGCACGTGGGAATCGGCCAGAGTCTAGCCGGTTCTCAATGTTTTGCGATTAGTATTGTTGTTGTTGCTGCTATTTTTACTTGAACAAATCTCTAATGAATTAGCCTTTGGGGAGTCCCAGCCCGAGTCTTGTTTTTCCGGCTCATTTTTCTGAACAATTAGGACCGTTGATTGGCACCCCAAAACACCATCTTGCTCATGGTATTGGAGAAGCCACATCTTTTTCTTTCTTCTTTTTTTTTTTTTTTTTTAGGATTTTTTGATAGTGTTGTGGTCATTCATGTACGAGATAACTTACTGCTTGAAAGACCTGGTTTGCCCTGGCTTCCACATTTAGAAAAGTTCCCAAGTACTTGATCCACTCTGTGCGCTGAAATATTAAACAAAACATAATTACTTTGACATGGACACTTAAAAACACGATGTTATTGAGGGTGCAAGTGTTATAAAACTTAAAATTCAAAATTTCTCTTTTGAAAATAGTCATCTCATGTGGTTTTTCAAATTTTAAATTGAAAAATTCCTCCCAAAGTTACTTGCCTCAGGGAGTAAGTGTATAGTATGCTCCCATTGGAGCATAGTCTATGCCCTCGTTTGACTTGGGCGAATGTATGCTTCGGTTAATGTGAAGATACACTATGAATGGTCATAAGAAATCTCCACTTCAGCCAATTAATGGATGGTGGAGGCCACAACGACATCAAATGGCCTAAGAGTTGGATACCACTCTCTCTATACAAGCTGTACCATATATATATATATATATATATATATATATGAAAGAGTCTTCCCAACACCTATAGGTGAAAATGAACTATAGAATATATAAAAAATTCTTTCCAACGTCTATTAAATTCTTCCCAACGTCTATAGGTGAAAATAAACAGTGATTTCGTCCTCATCACCGTCCAAAGTTCATCACATGGTAATGATTGTCTGATAGTGTTTCATTTTTCATTTTTTTTCTACAAATCGAAATTTCCTTAGATTTTGAGCGTGTGTACATCTTAGTGAGGCGCACTTACTAAAAATATAAAAAAATAATTCGTGAAAAAAAAAATGAAATACTACCAGACAATCATGACCGTGCGATGAACTTTGGACGGTGATGAGGGTCGACGAAATCACTGTTCATTTTTACCTATAGGTGTTGGGAAGACTTTTCCTCTATATATATATATATATAAACAACTTTTTTAAAAAATTTATGTCTTTTTGAGCCCTGTACATTACTCAACCGAGTTATTCAAGGCCGAGTCCAAGGATTGAGCGAAGTTAAAAAAAATAATAATAATAATTTTATTGATAAAAAAAAAGTTGATATGAGGGATTTGGGGTCCAACACACCCCCATAACATGGTATTTTGATTGGTGGAATTAAGGTACAATTTGGTCCGAAAGCAACACCTACGAATGTTAATGCATACAAAATACCACCAACCCCCAAAAAAACCCAAACTCTCAAATGCTCTTGAGTTTCAAATGTTGTAAGTAGCCGTACAAAAGAAGGATAAATTACTAAGTTCCCCGGCCATAACCTACAAAAGAAGGATAAATGACTAAGTTACCGCTATTCATGGTACCTGCAAAGGAGTGTTCTCTTCTGAGGGTTCAAAGGTGACGAAATTGCAAGCTCGACTTTGCCTCTTCTCACCAATGAAGTGAGCCGTGAATTGAGTTGCGAGCTGATTGGTCTCGCTTTTATTTACGATTTCTATCTCTCCTCCCATGTACGTTTTCAGTAAGCACTCGGATGACATGGATTCTGATGTTATGGCCTTCAAGCTTCCCAACAAACCTAGAAGCTACAAAGAAAACAATAAAAACATATAAAAAAAAAAGTGTATACAATAAAATTATTGACAAGTATAAACATAAAATTGCCGTAATTTTGAAAGAAGTGTCCAAAATGTATCAAGAATGGGCTCAAGGTGGGTGGTAGGGAGTGGGCTCATAAATTATTTTTGTCAAACTCGGTTTTGCCTCGAAGTCGAAGAGGGCGAAGCCTTCTAATTTTAGTTCTAGACCAAAGTGAAGTGAAGCTTGATGTTGTCCCTTCAATCAGATTCGGATTGCTTTAGTCAAATTTTAGTCTAATTTGGGTTGATTCAGCCAAAGCTTTGGTCTCTTCAACCTTAACAAAGAAATATCTATATTAAAGTAATTTTTTTAAAAAATATTTTTAAATTTTTTATATAAATATATAATTTATTTATATTCAATTTTTTAAAAATGTTAGAAGCCTTCTCTCCAATACGCGAAATATTGCTTTATTTTTCTCACCAAAACGAAAAAAACTCTCAAGCGAAGTCGACAACATTGTAATAAGTCCTTGTAGTGGCAACTGTCCTCACCTCAAAGAATGAAACTGTAAAATGTCCACCAAAGGTTGATATCAATGTCAGGAAAGGGGTCATTATCTGTAAAAAAGAGAGAGAGAGAGAGAGAGAGAGACACCTGGAACTGTGGTGGTGTCAATGGAGAAATTAGAAAGGGGAATGACAAAGGATTTGATTCTTCCAGTGCAGTATCTCGATCTCGTTGCCGCTCGTGAAGAATTCTAGAATCACATAGCACTACTGTTAAAACTTAAATTTGAAGGGACTGCCGTTCGCGCTCTATAATTACATATCACTAATGTTAAATTGGAGGGAGAGAGAGAGAGAGAGAGACCTGGAGCAGCAAATAGCTCTGGCCATCAAGCGCGTTCTTTATGACTTTGAAGCTCTGGCCATAGTAAATATGGAAGTTTCCGGCTTGCTCTACGTGAGAAGTGTTGTCACCATCTGTGAGGAGAGAGAAAGAAAAGAAGAAGACGAAGAAGAAGAAGAAGAAGGGAAGTTGCAGCAGTGGAGCCATGGCTTGAAAGGAGTTCAGCTTTCCCCACTCTCTCTCTCTCTCTTATTATTATTCTCCCACGAGAATAGAGACAAAGCTTGAGAGATGGGTCTGCAGCTTTTTTGTCCTTTGTTTTTCTATTTCCCTGTGAAAGAAAGAAAACACTGCCAACATATCAACGATGTCCCAAAAATAAAAAAAAATGCATACGACACCCAACTGTTGCGATGAGCCTGAATGGAGCGTTAATTGGTTAGTGCTTGATGATTTGTAACATTGTACACTCAAATCCTACTCACTCACTCGAAAAAAAAGAAAAAAAAAATTTCCTCATAAAAATGTATTTTAAAAACATCTATCATATCATATAAAAATATATTTATGTTTTTGAAATATTGCAAATCGGATAGATAAGCAAATATTTCAAAAAATGAACGATTTAGATAAGAGATTATTTTTAAAGAGACTATTATCTTTTTGTATATGGTGGTTACAATCTTTTTTGTCTCTTAAATTTTAAAATAGATAGTTGTAAGAGTCTCATTGAATAGATACAAAATTCCAAAAAAAAAAAATTCTCTGACTTCGTGACTCACTCTGAGCCATTCAAATTGACATCTACTGAGAGTGAGAGTGAAAATAATTGTGAGTTCCACGTATAAAAACTAACATGTCTATGTGTTATTTTTTTTTTCATAACCATTATTGTCAAGGTCGACATGACGTATTTGATAATTTTTCCACCCAAACAACATTTTCTGACGAGAATTTCAAAGTCTTCATTTGGTTCAAAAGTCTTCACAAAAAAAAAACACACACTAAAATTTGGTTGATTAGGATTAAGGACTTTAATGAAAACATTAAAATAAGTGAAGAGTAAGTTGGTGATTGTTTAGTGTAGGAGAGGGTGGTCTAAGCTCTCAAGAATGAGTTAAAATTGTTCACGAGCGTCGGCGGCGCTTTGTTTGGAAGCAGAAGGGTGATGGAAAGAGGGGTCCCACCTGGGTTTGCTCCCGTGACTATGCCGCGCATCACATGACACTCATTTTTTACTTCTTTCTCTATCTATCTATCTATCTATCATGCCCCCACCTCTCCCTCTCTCCCTCCTAATTTATGCCCCCACCTCTCCCTCTCTCCCTCCTAATTTTAGGAGGAATGGTAATTTCACAAGAACTTGGGTATTACCCAATTATAGCCAAAATAAAATAAAATAATGAAGGAGATCGAAACGTTTTAAAATATCAAAGGAGGTTCAAAAGATTATAAATTACATTTGATCGCATATATTTTAAAATTTCCATGTCCATTAAAAATTTTCAAAAAAATAAAGTATCTAGTGCACAAAAATGGCGGAGAGCACTAAAGTTTAATTGCTAGAAAGCACACAAAAGACAGATGATTGTCTCAAACTATTTACATATCTTGTCAATTAAAATGCACGAAGATGTCAGTATCCAGAGCACCAGAGTCGTTTTGTTTTTGAGCTGGAAAGCACGTAAAAGAAAGATTACTGTCCAGAAAATTAGTTTATATTGTCTAGAAAATTAGTGTATATGAAAGAAAAATTTGATGGGGGATTGTCTACAAAGAGACCATTTATTTTTTGTATATGGAGGCCACAATTTGTGGCCCACGACTATTGAGGCGTGGCCTGGGCTAGCCCTCATGCCTCAATTTGTGGCCCACGACTCAAATAGCCCTCATGCCTCAATTTGTGGCCCACAACCTAGTTCTTAAGGGCCTGGCCCGAGCTAGCCCTTCCTGGCCCGGCCCTCAGGCCTCAATTTGTGGCCCACGGCCTAGTTTTTTAGGGCCTGCCAGGCCATAGTTTTATAGGTATGGACTAGGCCACTTGGTCCATTGCTAGCCCGAGTCACTCAGATTGAAGTGGTTTCTAGTTTCGATTAGGAACCATGTCAGCCTCCCTTCAACCAGTCTGAAAGAACTAGGTGAGAGTTCGTCTAAATTGGACCACTTCACATTTCCGGTAAGGAATAGGGTCAATCCCCCACCAATACCAATCCGGATCACCGAACCAATAAATGATTTTCTAAACACACTCTTAAAAAGGCTTTATATATAGGAAAATTGTTTCATGCGGGCTGGACCGCATTTCTACAATATGCAGTCCAGAGGTACAAAGCATCCATCTTAAAGATGAATGTAAATAGGTGGTCCATCTAAAAACAAGTGTAACTAACGGTCCAAATGTTTTATTAATATAATTATTATTTTTAGTTTTCAGAATTTATTTAGTTTTTCATATTCATGATCTCCATGTTAAAGATTATATATTCTCTAAAAATTAAGATTAAATTATATTTAAAAATCTATTTATTGCCGAGCCTGCATTTCTACAATATGTGGGCTGGCCGCATAGAAATTGTGCCCTTATATAAAGGAAAAGTTTATATAGAGCCAGGCTCTAAACAATCAAATTTGAGCCTATCTCAAAAATTTCACTAGAAGAGGTTATTTTGATGCCCAAATATATTCAAATTGATCATCTTGACATCAAGATGCATGGACAAGAGAAAGAAATGGATTGCAAGTTTTGGAAATAGCGTATTTTGTAATGCATTTTTGGACCATTAATTTTCAAGATTTTCAAGTTTTCATAGATACCTAGATTTACACTATTTTTTAACCTTTAAATTATATAAATAAATATAAAACTATATTTTAAGGCTATCACAAAGATTTCCAATATTGAAACCACATTTCTCGACACTATTTGAAGGTGGGCTCTAATTTGATTGTTTGGAGCCTAGCTCTATACAAACCGCACCCTATATATAATGAGTCCATTGAAGCTTCCTACATCAATTTAGAATTCCCCCATCCGCCCCATTTCAACGGCTCCAGATTGTCATTACTCTAATCAAAGTTCGTCCAAAGGAGCATCACACCCTGGCTTTTCCTTCTTGAAATCTGATGGCTACGATGATATTAAAGCACTGTAGGAAACTTCAGTAAGCGCTGTTCAACACTTTCCCTCGACTTAAAATCCTCTATTGTTATTATGAACGGGTCGGGTTTTAGGGATATTGATTGAATCTAGTTTGCCATCTTCGAAATAGTAATGAAAATTACAAACGGGCTCACCAAATGTCTGGGCTAAAAACCTACTTGGGGGATTTTTATCCCATGAAATTTTCCCGATCATCTTCATATTGTATCAATCCCAAAAACCCAAAAACTGTTTTGATTTTCTAAGACCCTCAGATCTGATCATCAGTCAAAATAGATGGTCTATTTGGGTAGAGGAATCCATTTGGGGTAATGATTTCGTGTACTCCAAATTAAATTTTATTTTATGTTCTCAAACTAATGTTGTAGATTGAAGATTTGTGTGCCTTTTGAGTTCCAATTCCCCAAATGTGTTTTGGCCATAGGATCTTGTCCAAATATGCGGAGTAAGCGCTTATCCATCAACAACAAAGTTTCAAAACTCCTCAGCACACAAACAACAGAATTGTTAACGTTAGAGATGATGATAAGCAAAATCACCATACCATAGAAATTTCAACACAAGTAGGGTTAAGATTGGGCAGAGAAAATAGAAGTCCGACAAGATTAAGACTCTATGTTATGGCTCTTGGTTGTAATGATCATATGTGACATCTATGAGAAGTTTTCTATTTGGTATGGATTTCTAACTTTATATATACATATAAAATAAGAGAAGAAATAAGCCTTATTTTTTGGTGTGGTTTCTATAAGTTTGCAACCCTAAAAAATCCAATTAAAGCGCACCTCCAAATTTTCTCATAACAGTAATTTGATGTAAAATTATCTCAAAATCTATTTTTGTATCTTAATATAAAATTTTAAACTCTATAAAGGGTTAAAATCAAGTAGATCTATAAACATATGAAAATCTTGGCAATGGACGGTCTAGATAATGTTTTACAAGATGCACTATTTGTGGAACTCAAAATCTTTTTTTTTCATAGTAATACATCTCAATGTCGAGATGATTAATTAGACGATTTTTAACATTAAAACAATATTTTTCGATGTATTTTTGAGGTGCATCTTTAATTCTACATTTAAGGTTGCAACCTTATATAAAATTTTTCTATTAAGTAATCTTATGGGAAACGTAGACTTCCCTCTAGAGAGATGCAAAGGCCTCCTATATGGAGGAGCCCTTAGAGAGCAAAGTGAACTTCTAGTAATAGAGCTGGTGAATCCATGCCTTGTGTGGAGAGATACTTGTTTTTTGTAGAGAAGTGGTTCTCGTGGAGATTTTAATTTGTATCCCCTTTGTAAGCAAACATATGGGTTTTTTGTTGATCTCACATTTTTATCTAGTGTGCTCAGTAATAGTTGAAATAAAAAAAACAAAGAACATGGGGTGATGTTGGCTGAGAGAGTGGTCTCATAGGTTGCTTGACTGGTTCTTGTTGATGATTAGTAAAATATCTTTTGTGTCCCAAAATACGTGATGTAATTCTTACTAGTATAGTGGATTTTAGTGTGTCATGCACGTAGATATAGCCCCTTTAGGATGAACGGCGTAAATTAATGTGTTCTTGTGGTGTGTATGAAATTTTTTTTTACTGCTCATACTCATTATGGTTCATACTCTCATTGATTTTGTTTATAGCTAGTTAAGTATACAATAATGGTGAGATTCAACTTTTAATTTAGGAAAAATTTCGTATAGAACCCTAATTCTTCATATTATTTCATGGTAGACCATCTTTCCATTTTTCTTTTAAGCGGCACAAATTTTTTTAATAAGATTCTTAAAACCTAATAGTTAAGGGTGGAATGGGCTACGCTAGGCTGGCACGAGTTTGGCTCTGGCCCAATCTAACCCCACTCTTGTGGGTTAGTTAACTCGTGGCCCTATTAAGAGGGTCGGGCCATGCCAACAGATGTTCTTTTTTTCTAGATTCATTAAAATAAAAAAAAGGGTAGGGCAGCCAAGACCTTGGACCTAGCCTACCAGAACACTACACCTAGATTTCAAGCCTGGGACCCACCCTCAAGTCAAATTCAGGGGCCCACATCTAGGCTGTATCTAGTAGGGTTGCCAACCCCAACCCCAT